TAGCAGACATCGTTTGTTATTTACATATTCTTCATGATATTTACATATGTGATATGTGATATGACATGTAAATTGTCACTTAGTTGTGAGATGTGATATACTAGTATCTGACATTTAAAAGGCTCCCAATTTTGATTAATAATTAACGAATGAATTATTTGATTCGCGTTAAATCATCATTGATAATCTATCCATGGATGTTTCGATTAAAAATTACACAGTAATTGAACCTGTAACAATCACGAGAAATATGTCTTCTTGGAAATTTATTCAGTATCATGGTCCAATAATTTTAGTGTGTAGAAAAATAATGACAAATAGAATCATCATACAAAAACGGATCCAAAATATAAATGGTAAAAAGACATTTACCAGTCTACACGTTATTCTGGCTTACAAACAAGTTCACGTGTAAGATTTGGACACATTCCCGTCGTGATTCCCGCGAGTTGTTCGCGACGGCACAATCCCATATATACCTCGCTTTTTTCAGTTACGATAAATTCAAAACTTCCACTACAGATACTAGAGCATGTTAACGTCATTGGTATAATAAATTAAGTACATACAAATTATCAAAAACTATTATACAGTGTTTCGTCATAGTAATTGAACCGATTTACTTCCTGGACGGTAACCATTCGCTTTGTGTTCATGTGACAGATATTCAACGCATGGTTATGAAGATGTTGTGACTTACCATGTCATGAAAGTTTACAGCAATGTAGCCACATTTATGTCTGAATGTTTAAAGGGTGGTAGTCGTCGCGCAGCGCTTGTTCGAATTACATGTAAATAAACAAAGTATTTTGGCACGCGTTGTATACGTCGCTATGAAAGCGACGCGACGACCACCGCCCTTTAATTTATTTTAGCTTTGTTTTATGTTGTACAGTCGTTTTCATGAACGCTCGAACGTTATTTGTTATAAAATGGCGGAACGAATGATCGTCGTAATAGATGTCCACAACGATTAATATGACCTTTGACCTAGCACAATCATTTCACAGCTGGTAGAAAATACATACGTATATACTGAAGACAATAGAGAAATATAAAGAGAAATATTACTAATGGACTTTTATAGGCAATGAATTCGAAAACGCATTTTTTGGATTCAAATGTTATAAAAAGTGTTTTATACAATTTTTCATAAAGTTTCAAAAAAAAAATAAATAAATAAAAAAACAGTATCGTTTTATTGGTAAAGGCAACTTTTTGTGCAAGGAAGCCCCGACTCCGGTATTCGTCGCACCGCCCAATACCCGATGACAACTTAACATAACACTGCGTATCAATGTTTATTTGTACAGCTAACAAGTGTGCGTATAGATGTACATATTTTGACATGTGTGGACTTTGTATGTTAACGGATTAGTAGCAGCGATGGTGACTTCTCAGGGAATCTAGCATAGTGCGTGATTCTAGCCTCAAGTGATGCCCGGTCGGCACGTGGCATGTGAGAGCCAATGGATACCCAATGTCAAGGCATCCGGGGTCACGTGGTTGAACAATCCCTTATTCCAAGAGGACAGTTGTAAGAGTAGACATGAATATGATGTTTAATTGCTTCTGACATCACCGTCGCGTAAGCTGTGTGTGATAATACTTACAAATCTAAAATATATCTTGATAGGAAACATTTAGATACATAAAACATAGTTACAAAAATTAAATAAAATATAATCATACATTCGTCGATACTTTGTGAATACAATATAGACTTTCTGAATTGCTTTCATACAAATTTTCTGAAAATATTTTATTTACAAGATAAACGATTACGTAAATGGTCGGAACTATTTTCACTATTCACTTGTGGCCTCGCCAATTATAATTCAGAACGGGTAAAAAATCGTTTCCATGGAAATTCAGTTTGTACCCGTTACAAAGGTATGAGCTGCTTTTTGTCACCGGTATGTATTTGTTTAAAGCGGGAGGGTCGCCACCTGCGCACGCGCGGGAATTGAGTCCCAAGCGATGATAACAACGCACGTTAAACACGCAAAGGCTCATGGGTAGACGCTTGTTTGTGAACAATGACACGCTATGGCCATCTGACGCATGCGCAGGTGACGACTCCTCCGCTTTAAATTTATATACTTGTAATACTGAACCAAAATTGTGACACCAGAAGAACATACTTGATGCGATACAAACCGAAAAAAACTGGAAAATGATAACTCGGTTGACCAGTTATTCATGTCTTGCTATCATCTCGTGTTTACTAATTTGGCATCACATAGGTTATTTTTGTCCTGTATTACAAGGATAAGAATACGAAAAAAATGCTCATTCAAATCTAGATTGTGAACTCTCGCGAGATGAACTCCACTATTCCACTCTTACCATTGTCTGAGTGTGTAAAACAAAGTGAGTCCATTAAAAGTTTGTTTATATATATATATGTATATATATTAAATTTTATTTTACTGTTGTGTTTAGTATCAATTGTGTGCGAGGATTTTTGACAATACTTGACAAATAAATAAGCCTCAATTAAGGGAATATTTAGAATTAAAAACTACTATCTTAGAAGTTTTAAATGATTTAATATTATTGTATACAGGTAAGCAGACAGGTTGCACGCCATTACAAGTGCGTGTAGACACACGAGACACGTTTTATTCGCACATTTCGTTGATACACAGCATTTCTTTGTATTGGTATCAAGTAGGTGTGGTTTTGCGAGACTTCGTATTAGGCAGCTGTGGCAGCATTTGACTTGATGACACATGTGACTAAGGTCAGGTGTTCTTTGCTGAAACGTAGCTGAAGTCACGTGTGTCTTGGTGACAGGTAGCTGACGTCACATATAACCTGATGACAGGTAGCTGAGGTCACATGTAACTTGATGACAGGTAGCTGAGGTCACGTGTAACTTGATGATAGGTATCTGACGTCACATGTAATTTGATGACAGGTAGCTCAGGTCACGTGTAACTTGATGACAGGTAGCTGAGGTCACGTGTAACTTGATGATAGGCAGCTGAGGTCACGTGTAACTTGATGACAGGTAGCTGAGGTCACGTGTAACTTGATGATAGGTAGCTGAGGTCACGTGTAACTTGATGACAGGTAGCTGAAGTCATGTGTGTCTTGGTGATATGCAGCTGAGGTCACGTGTAACTTGGTGACAGGTACCTGAGGTCACGTGTAACTTGATGGCAGTTAGCTGAGGTCACGTGTAACTTGATGACAGGTAGCTGAAGTCACGTGTGACTTGATGACAGGTAGCTGAAGTCACGTGTAACTGGATGACATGTAAATGAGGTCAGGTAAGACTTGGTGACATGTAGCTAAGGTCATGTGTTTTTGGACGACATGTAACTGAGGTCACGTGTGATTAGGTGACAGATGGTTGTTTTCGGTTGTTATTGCGTTTATGTTGTGGTCATTGTAGTGCGCCATCGTCGGTCCACAAGAAACATGCGAGATAGAGTCTCTTCTCTCATGTTGCGTTTTGCTGGCTTCAATCGAACTTGTTTCCCTGTCATATATACCTCTACATTTATAACAAAACAGCAATTTTCGAAATGCACGCCTGAAGTCTGAGTTAAACGCGTAAATGAATGGATTAATACAACTGTTGATGTACCCTAACCAAACCGATATTGTAAACAAAGTAACAGGTACACATCCAAAACAATAAGGATCGATGATGTTAAGAATGAAGAATGGTAGCCAACAAAGTATGAACACTCCTACAATTATTGCCAGTGTTTTAGCTGCTTTCCTTTCACGGGTCATTGAAAATCTTTTTTTCCCATCCTTAGCGCTCAACACTTTCATTCTTTTCGCTGTATCTTCTTGTGCGTGTATTTTTTGTTGGTGTTTCTTTGCCACGCAAAATATTTTGGCATACGTGAATAGTATGACAATTGTCGGCACATAGAAAGAAATCAATGATGATACTAACGCATATGTTGGGTTTAAGAGCAACACACAGAAATATGGGTCATCGTACAAGTCCCGATGGCGGTCGTCTTCGTGAAGTCCGAGAATTACTGGTACCACGGATATCAGTACTGATACAACGTATGTGACTGTTATCATAATGGAGGCTGTCAATGGCGTCATTCGGCGGTAGTAAGTGAACGGCGAAGTAATGGCGAGGTATCGATCCAGAGATATCATACACAGGTTTATTATACTCGCTGTGCAGCATAACACATCTAAGCAGACGTATATATTACAGAAAATAGTACCAAACGACCAATATCCTAAGACTTGATTGGCAGCACTAAACGGCATAACTACGGTAGCTATGGTCAGATCTGACACTGCCAATGAGACTATGAAATAGTTTGTAACAGTTCGCAGACGACGGAAAGATACCACTGAACATATCACCAGAATATTGCCAAGAACTGTCACTAGTATTATAGCGTAGAGCAAAGTTCCTACTGTTAGCTGATATCCGATATTAGGATAATCCACGGTGGAAGACAGCGTATCGTTGTCGATGTAGCTATCCATTGTACTTTATGCGTAGTTCACGCCGTACTCGGCCGTGCAGGACGCAAGGCGTTACCTGTGTGGAAATAAAACAAAAGTATGACACATCTGTCAAGTTGTTGGAAACAATTCAAACAAATAATGTCAGTTTACAAATAGTTTGTAAACATGATAACAAATTACCTCAAATCAAGAATCGATATATTCACTCTGACGTCACACACGAACTGGGAGATGAAACCTACTTGGTAACACACACTTGAAGACATAGCGTTGTTCACATGTCATATGAGACAGACAACGAAGGAATTTTTTATGGGAACCTCATTAATAATACAAACATAACAAATAAATATGGGCAGCACATTGGTACTTTCACATAAGTATTGCTAGTCACTGAATGGTGTACATGGCGCCAAATGGTGTTGACCCAGAGGAAGAGGCTCGACTTAAAGTCGGATACGTAAATATTTTGGCCTGGAACGTTACGCGATAGAGGTGTAAGTATCGTATTCACATATCTAACGTACTCCCAGAGAAACATTTTTAGAAAAAGATAAAAAAACACACAATCTCAATAGCAGAAATGATACGCCTGCAACACATTTTTTCTAGTTACGTCATTTATCGTGCTGTGCGTTCTCTTATCTCATAAATTGGGTCATATGATCACGTGATCGTTGCTAGGGTATAATTCATGACACTAGTACGTGAAATGTTAGTTACTTTAAATTCAACAAAACGTGCTGTATTTAGAGTAAAACTCGAGCCTTATTTTCGAGATTTGGTATCCATGTAGTCAAGTGGTTCCCGGGTGAGGTTCAACAAATGTAATAATTATGTCTATATTATGGAAGAAGAATCTTATCCCGATTAAAAAAACATCGCCCCATCACTTGGATTTGGAGGGAATATAATATTCTGTCATGTGACTGATGTAGTATTGTACATCCGCGTGTCTTGAGAATACAGACACGTGTAGACTGTTTTCAATCCCACTGTGTGTTTTTCAAAAGCAATATAATGAAAACGCAGTATGCACGGCTACCGTCTCATATATCGTGCAAAATTTATTGCGCTGCCATATCATCCGGTACAGTACGATGATAAATGTAAGATTATGTAATATGCATTGTGCATTAGCAATTGTCGTAGTTGCCGCGAACTTAAAACAACATAGTTAGTAATGTTTTTCAAAGCGCGAGTACTCGTACAGTTTCTTCCTTTTTTTGTTCACCGTACATGTCACCGTACATGTCAGTGTGCGTCACATGTCACCATACATGACATAATGTGCGTCACATGTCACCGTACATGACATAATGTGCTCACATGTCACCGTACATGACATAATGTGCTCCACATGTCACCGTACATGACGTAATGTGCTCCACATGTCACCGTACATGACATAATATGCTCCACATGTCATTGTGCATGACATAATGGGCGTCACATGTCACCGTACATGACATAATGTGCGTCACATGTCACCGTACATGACATAATGTGCTCCACATGTCACCGTACATGACACAATGTTCGTCACATCTCACCGTACATGACATAATGTGCTCCACATGCCACCGTACATGACATAATGTGCTCCACATGTCACCGTACTTGACATAATGTGCTACACATGTCACCGTACATGACATAATATGCTCCACATGTCACCGTACATGACATAATGTGCTCCACATGTCACCGTACATGACATAATGTGCTCCACATGTCACCGTACATGACATAATGTGTTCCACATGTCACCGTACATGACACAATGTTCGTCACATGTCACCGTACATGATATAATGTGTTCCACATGTCACCGTACATGACATAATGTGTTCTACATGTCACCGTACATGACACAATGTTCGTCACCTGTCACTGTGCATGATATTATTGTGCTCCACGTGTCACCGTACATAACATAATGTTCTCAACATGTCACCGCCATGACATATCGTGCTCCACATGTCACCGTACATGATATAATGTTCGTCACCTGTCACCGTACATGACATAATGTGCTCTACATGTCATTGTACATGACATAATGTTCGTCACATCTCACCGTGCATGACACATTGTGCTCCACATGCCACCGTACAT